AAACCTCGCGCCACGCCCCGCCACGCCCTCCGGGAGCCGGCCCTGCGCGCGAGCAGATCCCCGCGCGCCTGAGCCGCCCTGCACCCTCCGGGGAGCGCACGCTGCCCGCGGCTCCCCGAGAGCCCCCTCCTCCCGCGGACTCGACGCCGGCGCGGGGTGCTTCCTTATCGACTACTTTCCTCGCTCTGGGTGGGTCTTGGTGGTCATGAGGGGTCTGCTTCGTGCCATCCGGAGCCACAGAGAAGTAACGCCCAGTGACTTACTCTCCCAGGGAAGAGGGATTCCTCAGTGCAAAGCTCGTTCTAATCTAGGCTGAGACCTAACGCATCACCCCCGAGAGTGATGGATGCCCAAGTGGTTGAAATGTGTTTCCTCCGCCCGGCAGTGTGCAAACCAAAACGCATGCCCGATCGGAGCGGAGGGCTCGCAGCTGCAGTACCTGATCCGCCCCCGACCCCGCGGCGTTCAGCAGGCGCTGCTGGCGCTCCCGGGGCAGGAGCAGAGCTCGGCAGGACCTCGTGGAACAGCCACAAAGCCCCTGAAAGGAGCCCACTCACTGCGGGGCACCTCCTTCTGCACATGGTGGTGTAGGAAATTCCAGGGTGCTCAGAAACATCATTGTTAAAAGAAGTGAGCACTCATAACACGACAAATACAGTCATTTTAAATTGGTTTTAAATAATTCAGTGCTCATTAAAAAGCACACACGATTCGGTGATTTTACAAGTCAACTGTAAAAAAAAAAAACGTCACCAGATGTCTATAATGTCCAAATGTTAGTTTTGGACATTCACACATTGCTGTTTACTATCTTTCTAACTCATGTGACCATGCCTTGCTTAAATTCAGTTTTCAAACTAGTGATGTAAAAAGTGGGTTAACTTTTGTTTTTGCTATTCTTTTATGTTAAGAATCTGTTTTCCGGTATTTCTGTTTTACAAATAAAAAATAGATGGCCAAATCTGAAATTTTACAGTTTTTCATCTTTCTATATTAGTCATCTATTAGTCTTTTAAAGAGGAAAACTGATTTCAAATTTTATTAAAATCTGATCTACATTGCTTTTGGTCAGCATTGATTGATATGTCAATTCCTTTTTCTTTAAAAATTATCTTTCTGCTTAAAATAGATGTCTGGGAGAGAGTGCTGTGAGTAAGTATTCATCACACTCTCTGAATCATGGGAAATCCCACCTATAAGCAGGTTTCTTAGCAGGAGAGAGTTATCTCATAGTTTCTTTCCAATTAAGGTCAGCACTGCAATACTCCTAGATTTAAAAAGCTGTTTTTAGACATCTAACAACATTTCTGTGAGTATCTAACATACCAGCAAGTATTTTCTGTGACTACAGTATGAGAGATTTAATTCTTAGCATACACATTTTTTACGGTAATCAGGATTTTGGAAGATGTAAATTAATTTAAAAACCTGCTTACTTGGAAATCCCAGAAAGTTTCACAATTAGTAGATTGCATTTTATTTTTGAGGGGCGCACTCATACTTCCTTTCAAAATTAATAAATTATTGTCAGTAAAATTAGAATAATTGAAAACTTTTCAGTGAATTTGAAACTTGTAGCCAATTTATTTTTTTTAAAGTCCCTCCTAACTAACTAGAGAAACTCATACTCCTGAATTTCAGGGGCTACAGCTAGGTATACTTTATAACTAAACTGAAGATTTTGTGGTTATGATTTTGAAGATCGGAAAAATATCAGAACTGCTAACAAATGCCTTCTGCAACCAAGGAATGTAAAAATAAAACTATCTGAAACCCCAAAGTAGACACACAGCCTTCTCAAGTTAGCTAAAACACACAGTACTGTTTTACACAATCCAGGGCATTTTAGATGAAATGAGAAGCGCAGTTCAACATCAGGACAGTTTCATGTAACTGACTGTTTACATGATATATATCAAGTAGTAGATAAATATCTGTATTTTTCACTTTTCACTCATATGCTTCAGAGCCTTATGAACATAGATGTTATGAATTGAGAACATAAAAAAAGTTCTTGAGTTTACTAATTATATTCAGAATTTTACTTCCGACCTTTTGCTGTTTGACTATGTCAGTATTAACTGACTTAATTGTATTTTGAAAGATAGACTCAGTTAAAATATTCTTGTTTTGTAGCATAATTATAGGATTTTAAGAAACTAATGAAGCAGTAATCATATTCACATGACAGATTTGAAAACAAGTATGATACAGAAGTCTAAGACAAATCTGATGACCGGTGTTATTTTAAACCTATATTTACATATAATATAGGTTTATATGTTTGCTATTGCAATGAAGTATATTTAATATTTTGGCAATTTGGCATTTTTAACACAGATTCCTGTAGTTATTTATTATTTTCTCACAGTATTTAACTTATATTAGGAAGGGAAATAAAATTCAAAACCATTTTGACTTTGGAAAATTAACTGGTTATAAATCAAGAATATTTTGAACTTTTTAAAGTAATGTAATCAATGACACAAATTTAATGATGACACTTTGAATTTTTTACAAGGTATATTTGAAATGCCTGATAACTACAGAGTCTACTCTTTACCATATTAATTACGTTTTATACTTAGGATTTTAAAAGTGTTCAATCCAAATGAACAGTCATCTATTAAGTGCCCACTATTCTGGCATTCCTTAAAGTAATAACAAGGAATAAGAGCTGGGATAATGAAAGGTTCAAGAACTACAGGATATTGCTGATTACCCTGAATCTTTCACAAATAAGCTGAAAAATTTTTGTCGTCAGACTTTATTTTATTTGTTCCAATACTCTAATAAAGTAATTATTTTATTTTCTTATTTAACAATTTAGAATATCTACATTTTGTATATGTTGTTTGATAATCATGCATGTCATAGAAATAGATTATTTGCTACAAATGGCATTCCAAGGTGCTATTAATGACAATAAATTTATAGTGAACACAAAGACCACAATCATTTGAACTCCTAGTCCCATTTATGGTTTTGAAATTAAGAAATAATAAGTTATAGGGGGGAAAATGAATAAATGTGTGGTTATGAATAAATAAGTTGAAGAAAATGCTTTTTTGTTGTTAGTATTTTTTAATTTGTCACTGTGATACTCTGTAGAACCAGATGAAAGTAACTAAGAATTATTTAATTAAGAAAATTAGACAGACTAAGTACTACCTGTCACAATAAAGAGACAGCCTTTGCACTTAAAGAAATTCAGAATGCAGTGACATTACTTAATATATGTAAAATTGTATGGCTTTTAGAAAACTAATACATTTCTAATTAAACATTTAAAGGTGATGTATCAGTATAATATATTCTAATAAAACATTTCACTAGTTTTTCACTTGTTTTTACTAGAAGGATGCAATATCAAAATTAGAAGTAGATTAT